ATTTACCCAATAAATTCTAATATTTTTTATTCATTCTATTTGTGATAAATAGTGGACTCACTATTGAATCAGGGAGCAGGCACTTCTACCAGAAGGGGGAGGGGGGTTGGCATGGCGTAAAATTGTTTTTGAAATATAATAAGAGTGGAAGGGAGATGATCAAATCGGGTTGGAGGTTATTTTAGCTAAGCAAATTTTTATGTACCTATTTTTGCTAAAAATATTTATCAAGAAGGTGACAAAATAGTTTTTTAGAGGAGGGGAGGGGTTGAAATACCATTTCTAAAGGTGTAATATTTATTAAATCGATTAAAGTTTAAAAAACGATAATGAATTTTATTTTAATTCTTTTGATATATATACATTTATATAATTATCCAATTTAACTTCTAATAATATGCAATTTGATTAACCTCAATAATATAATATTACATGTCGGAAAGTTATAATATAATATACAAATAACGTCCTTTTAAAATATATAACGTGACCTTTTAAAATATATCTTAACCTTTACAATAATAAATATTCAGATGTAACAATATTGTCATTCAGTAAAAATTACGAAGATTTGATGTAATGCATTAATTGTACTTAATGGGTATATCCTATTTGTGCCAGGAATGATCTATTTTAGGTGTATCCTTCTAATTTTTTTGGGTCGCTGGTAAATAATAAAAAGCAAGACTTCTACTTAATCCTAAAGAGCATCATTTGACTATTAGAAAACTCCTGTATTTTGTAGTATAATGGTGAGGCTTATCAATGATACAATTAGTTTAATTTTATAAAAGTAAATCGCAAATGAGCAAAACACCTGCCATATAACCCCTATCTTCCCTACCTTTTCTTTAGGTATGTAATTGATTTGGGACTTCACGTGCGTTTCTCTTCTTTTTTTTTATGTATTTTTTTTAAAAAAAATTCTAATTTGATTTAGATTCCTGAAACAAAAAAGATGAAAAAGGTAATACTAAAAATATATATAAATTCAATTTTCAAATTTAACTTCGCTTTTTTCAGTTCTAACTCCCGTTTTTACAAAATGATAAATTTTATTTTAAAAAATGTGAGGGAGTGAATAAATAAATAATATATTATGTTGAAATTTAAGAAATTATATTATATTATAAATTCAATACTATTTTTTTTTATTCTACAATATTTGTTCTAATGAAGGTAGTCTTATAACAAAAAGCTTTCTTTAGATTATTCTCTAAGGAGTGCTTAATAAATAATAAAATGAATTATAAACAAAACACAAAATATTTAGTATTTGTGTGCAGAAAATCTTTTGATTTTTTTTTTAGAAAAACCGTGTTTAAAAATGATTAATTTCACTACACTAACACCCCCTCTTTACTAGCTCACTGGCTTGGAACGCTTATCCACAAAACAGCATTTTAATTTGTTTATTTTCAATATGTTTTAAAAACGAATATGAATTCTTATTCGATTCTTTTAAACAAATCAAATTATTTACTATTCTTATTGCGAATAATATAATTTAACTATTCTTATTCTTTTAGTATAATTGCATATAGTATATTAATCGATCATTTTAAAAAAATCATTCGAAATTTGATTCATATTTGTAACAAATGACAAAATTTTTCTATTAAACTTCTTTTTTCTTATCGTATAATAATTTCACTTGACGTGAATAACTTAATATATAATTTTTTTTCAAATATTCCCCATAGTCGAAAAATTTTATATATTATATTATATCTAATATATTTTGTTAAATCTGGAGAATTGTGGTCAGGTGCCTTTTTGTTTGTACGGATATATGTTTTGACCTAGGTATTTTTTTCCAAAATATTTAGTACGGAACTTTTTGTTTATAGATTTTTGTCCGTTTACCACTTTAAAAAAACTCTATTTCAATTATTAAAATTAGGGCTATTGATTTTGCATAAATATGCCAGCAATTAAATTATTATGTCAAATTTTCTGGGTAATTTAATGTGCTCTCGATAAAGAGAATCATCAAAAGAATTAATATTTCAAAAATATTAAAGTTTTTTTCGAAAGATTTATCTCTACTTGTAATATAAAGAATTGTAAAAGTTTTCTCATCAAATAAATATATTATCATCTTTTTTACAAACCGATGGTTAAAAAAAATTTTCTTTATATTGATTATTATTTTTTTCTGAATAATTATAAAGAGTTTATTTAAGTAAATTTATCCAAATAAACGTTTTCACTCTCAAAGAATGATTTTAAATAACATTCAAATAACATTATATTACACTAGGATATAAATAATGTTTATTTTTTTATATTGTATATGATGGTTACAACGAATATATTTCATGTAAATATAATTTGTAGTATACAATTATACACCACTATCACAAACAAATATACATAACAAAAATTAAAACTTAATTTTTAATGTATAGTATTTAATTTGGAGGCAATTATTGAATTACAAAAAAAATATAATTGATTTTTTTTTAAATTTTAAATTCAAAATCGATAATAATTATTAAATTTTTATAAAATTAGCAGAAAATGGGGCAGGAAGATGAGCAAGTAATTTTTACTTATCTATTTTTGTGAAGATAAAATTTTGAAAAATAAAAGAAACGCATCATTTAAAAAAAAAAGGAATTATATTTTATTTGTAGCGTATTTAGTGAGTTCTAAATGCAATCGACAGGAGTTTCACTTTAATTTTATTTTAGTTTTTAAAGCAAAGAAATCAATCTAAAGTATGAATAGAATTCCAACAAGCTAAGTAAAGTTCGAATTTCAATATCTACTTACTCTTAAGAGTAGCCCGAAATTCTAGGAAAATATATTTTTTTAGAATAAACAATCATTAATTTATACGGGATGGGGAACTCGCACTTGGCAGATTTATAGAAGAAATAGATATAAATGCATTTTCTCAATTTTTAATTCTTTAGTTTTGCAATTTGAATTAAACAATGGCTCTCTAGATTACAAATAATATAGGGAACTTAATTCCACCAATTTAATTAGAAAGGTGGGAGTTTTTATTCAAAGTGAATCAGTACCCCTGGAGTAATTACATATGTCTAGTCATACAATAAAAACAAAATGGGAAAGGAATGAGTCACATGTATAAAGTGCCCTGAGTGGCAGAGGGAACTCACCGAGAAGATATTTAGTCAAAATCCATTTTATAATAATTATCTTATATTTTAGTCATAAGAGAAGCCTCGGGACATTGGCTTAAAAGAGTATAGAGGGATCTGCCCAGTGGATGCAGTCAAATATGTCAATTATGATGTTTTTAACATCTCCCAAATTTTATAAAATACTATCTTTTTATTTTTTGAAATATATTTCATCAAATTTTGAATTTATTTAATAAAGTTTCTAGATTTTTTTAGTTTTGGCATTTTTTTTTGTTATTTAGCTTAATGTTAGATAAACTTTAGCAAGATTTCCCCATAAACTTGCAACATTGCCCTGTATGGGGTAAAACTTGCACAAAAAAATAAATTGGAAATTTTATAACTTTCACTATCAAAATATGGCATGTAAAAGGTTCCAAATTTATAACAAATTTGCTTTGAGTCTGTAAAAAAATAAAACTGAAAAATTAATTGAATTCTTTGGGAAAACATCGACAACTTTTTGGATCGTCAAAAATCAGCGAAAAAATAATACGACAATAAAAAGATTCAAATAAGATTACCGCCATCTATAAAACTAAATATTATTTAGTTATTTTAATTTTTATCAACTTATTTAAATTATACATAATATTTTCAAAGTCATCAAAAAGAGGACTAGCTACAAAATATAAATATTTTCCTTTGACAAAAAAAAATATTATTACAACTTAATAACATTTATTATAATTTATGGTTGTATTTATTTTTTGCTTTTAGATTACTTCAAAAGTTCATTTGGATAATTTATTGAGGAGACTGGAGTTAGTCAAAACGATTTTTACAAAATTGGCTATAGCTTCTGGTTTTTGTTAGATAATATAAAAAAATAATATATGAAGATACCTAAAACTATACTCTATAAAGGTGCCTTATAAAAAAATTTATGAAAATAATCATTATTTTTATATTTTATTTTTTGTAAAAGTAAAAATTTTGCCCAACAAGCCCCCAATAGCGGGGTGAGACAAACCACTTCAAGGGGCTTCCTAAACCATTGGTTTTTTAGGCCATAATAAATTGAAATGCATTTTTATTTATTAATAATAATAATGATACGTATAGAATAATTTTATTGTTTTATTGTTCGAAATATCATATTACTTATATATTGAAGCTAATTATATATAAAAATTAAAACTTAAATAAACATTTTGGACATAAAAAATATAAGGATCTTAAGGAGAGATTATGATTTCTTAGCATAAATCCTAATTACCAATCATAAACAGCTATTTAAATTTTTTTTTTAATATCAACTGCCATAATTGACGTGTATGGTTTAGCAAGAATAGCTCTAAATTGACAAATGATTGAAATAATATATAGATATAATAAATAACTTTCCCAAATTATAGAGAGTGTTTAAACTTTGCTATAAAATTTAATTCATGATTATATATTTTAATAAAAATTGCAATTCTGTCATGTAAAAATCTTTTGAAAAATTTTATCAAAATTTAATTTCTTAAATAAAATTTTTAATAATTAATTATTTAAAAAGATTTTTTGTCTATAGATGTAAACTAATAAAAACTATATTAGGATAAAATTTTAACTTTCTGGTGTATTTAATTTTTAAATGAGATTAAGTGGCTTGCCAAGTCCCGGGGTTTAACCCCAGTCTCCCTATATTTTGTCTAGCCCTATTCTTCAGTATAAAATTTTGATATGCAATTAGCACATGTATTGTATTATGAAGTTTTAATAATATTTATAAATAAATAAAATTAGAAATTTAAAGCAATAATAATATTTATTGATGGTGATATTATTTAAATACTTGATTTTAATGTTAATCCCAAAACTTTAAAAGTATTTCATTGAACTATTATTATTTTTAAGTCGAAATACCCGATATTAAGGAGATACGAATGGGACCAAATACCCATACTTTTCGCGCTCTCGCTAACAAAGTTAAAGCAAATTTAGCATTTTCACTCATACTAGGAAACAAGCACGATAGTCTAGACCTGGTAGCAAAATCCCCTGAAATTAAGGATCAATGGATCTCTGCCCTAAGATATGTTGTATCTCGCTACAAAAACATGGAGCAAGAGAAAGAACACGAAAAGTGTTTAACAATTATTTGTGTTTTAGGGTAATGATATTGGTAGTCTGAGTCGTTTTTTTTTAAATTATTAAGTGACAACCAAATTTTATCATTTTTTAAATACTTTATTAACCCAGTCTACATATCTGAAAACCATTTCCACAGGAACCCTCACTTGTTACGCCTCGCTTCATATGTCCATATTTTTAACTCCCCTTTGAGCTATTAAAATACGTTTATTTTTTTGTATATGATTAATCAAACATCAAATAATATTTATTAAAACGGGGTTTTCTTTCGACATCTCTGACTATTAATATCATTACTCTTTTTTTTAAATTCATTTAAGTATATATTTTTTTAATAATTTACTATTATATTTCTAATCTATTTGGCTAGAATTTGGAATATACCATATTGAATATTATTAAGTAATTTTTTTTTAAATATATGTTCAGAATTTTATAATTCCCGTCCCGACTCTTAAGATAATTATTATTTAATACAAAAATTGATATGTGGCTTATCTTATTAAAGACTATATTATAAATTCAATTATTAGCATATTATATTTATTTTGAGATCAAGCTATAATTTTATGTCCAGAAATGTAATTAAGCTTTAATTATATTCTTATATTAGGTGGGCGATAGACCATTTTAATAAAGCGGACATTAATAAAGACGGTGGCTTAAGTTTCGAAGAAACCCTACAATTGCTCAATCATATGAACATTAACATGGATAAAAGATATGCCAAGAAGTTATTCGACGTAATCTTATTTTATATTATTCTAAGTTAATAAAATCATTGTAAAATTCTTAAATATCAATTTATAATAGGTTTACCATTTCAGTATACTATTCTTCAAATTTTAAGTGAAATTATATACTATTGCATACATGGAAATTCATAACTTCGGGTTTATAAAATATTTGCAGGTCTCAGATATAAACATGACAAGAACTAAGACTGGTGAAGATGTTTTGGACCAAAAAGAATTTTTAAATTTTTATAGATTATTGATAAGGCGACCTGAAATTGTCGACATCATACACAAGTTACCATGAATTTGATTTTAATTAACACAATGTATAAATATTTTATAACAAAGTTGAGGTGCTATATTATGTATGCGTTTCTTTAAGCCTGTCCTCAAATCTAGGTTTACTTTTAAAAATTCTGATTTGGATAACTTTTAAATTAATTTAAAGTGTATTTTAAGAACTCTTTAACTAAAATACTAAATCTCTAAATAATATAGTTAATTAACAAGACATTAAATAAGTTATTTTTAATATGATCCAATACAAATACAGTTCAGAATACAGTAAAGAAATCAAACACAATGATTTATAAAACGGTTGTTAGAAAAATAGATAGCCATCCAGGAGAAATATATGAGCCTTAATTGACATTGAGAAAAAATTATATATAGATTATAGTATAGAATAGATATTAAAAATATGATGGCCGAATTCATAGAAAAAAATTTAACGATCTGGGACGGGTCTGACTTTTTATAAATTTTGGAGGCCTCGGGCAAATTTGTTAGAAAATTTCGAACCGAGCCAAATTTTGGCAATATCTTTTAGAAAATTTCGGGCCGGCTTCTGGCAATTATTTTAAAAAAATTTGGGCAGACTTCGGACATTTATTTTAAAAAATTTTGGACCGGGTCAGAAAATTTAAAGGATGGCCCAACTTATGCGAAAATTCTTAACGGGCCGGGCCTTGTAAACTTCTAATCTATATTATTCCATTACAAAGGTAGCTTAAATTCACACAGAATAATATGATTGTTTAATGTTAGCCAATTTTTATTCTAAGGTATTCAAAAAATGGGAGCAGTTTTCTAGAGCCGGAAGAATTACAAGAATTTATGATCAAGGAACAAAAAGTTTGAATTTAAAGAATAAGATATAAAATTTCCATTTTATATTTATTTTTTTTTAAAAAAGCAAAATGACATAAATCTTGAGCAATGCAAAAAATTAATTCAAACATATGACAAAACCACTAAAGAGGGTACTATGAGTATTGAAGGTAGTTTTTTATAAAATAAATGCCAAAAATGTTAAGTATTGTTTTTATAAATTTTAACTATTTTATATTCCATGATTCAGAGGAAAAGGGAGGTGGGAGGAGGGTGGAAGTTTTCATTAAGGAATATTTTAAATTACAATTCCCTCGAAGTTTAATTATTCACAGTACCCCCTATTTATATTTTTGCACTATTTTGCAAAAAATTTTAATAGCTAATTCTTAGGTAATTAATATTGTAAATAAAAATTTGACACATAGCTATAACTCCTCATCTTAATTTCTTATTCTGGATCTGTAAATTTGAAAATTAATACAAATTACTTTATGTAAGTACCAAAGTGACACGTCAAATTATCTTATTAAATTTATATAGTATTTGATTTTGCCTTTCAACTTGAAGCGTATCATTTTCTTACCACCTCAAACTTGCAAAATACTATTTTAAATTATATATATATACACTATTTGATAAAAGGACCCCTCCTCCTCCCCTCATACTTTTTTTAAATAAGATCATAATAATTTATGACAAATAAAAGCTTATTTTATTTTTATGAATTTAAAGGTATGAGATGCATGTTGGTATCAAGGGACCAAGCATTATTCAATAAGAATTACTTAGAACTATATCAAGATATGACCCGACCCTTATCAGATTATTATATTAATTCTTCCCACAACACGTAATTTGGTTTACATTTTATTAGTATAAAATTAAAAGTCATTTTTAGGATGCAATTGCTATTTACATAAATTTTAATGAATATGCATATTTTAATGTTAGGTACCTAAGCGAGGACCAATTGATAGGAGAAAGCAGTGTTGAAAATTATATCAAAGCCTTGAGAGAGGGCTGCCGATGCGTTGAAAGTTATTTTAAATGATAATGCTATACTATACCATATAATATAACCAGAGATGCTACGTATTCAGCCAGTATATTCGTAATATATTACAAAACTGTCTGAAATTGATAGGATAAGTTAATTTACACGTGCTAAAATGTATTTCTGGTAAATTTTTCAAATTTAAAAAATGTGTTAAATAAATGATCTCATCGCATAAAAGAGTGGACAGACGTTTGGCTCCAACCCTTGAATTTAAGACCTTCTTTTTTTTATAAATATGTATAATTTTTACATTCCATAAGCTTTAGGCTCATCATCTTTATAAAAGAAAACTTCTACTAGGCCAATAAACAAATATTCTGTCTAATAGCGTTCCAATCGGATAAAAATACGAATCTTTATATTTATAATCGCCAATAAATGTTAATCATATTTATCCAATAGTATTTTTTGTTATTTATCTTTATGCCAACATTCTTCCAATGATATTGATTATAGCAATATTCCTCCAATAGTATTTATATTTAATATATGTCTATATAATATTGATCCAATAGCTTAGTTGTTTTTTCATGGCTTCATAAGAGTAGATATGCCCAATATCCATTAATCAATAGCTAACCAAATATCTATTCAACTGGAACTGGAGGTCAACCTCTTTCCTATAATGAGGGGTAGTGTTGTTTAAAAACGGCTAGATTAAAAGTTAGTCAAAATAATATAACTTAGGCCTCAAATGGCAAATAGAGGCCCAAATATTTCTGCTATCTATGAGAAAAATCTCCAGGCATACGTAACATTATTTTTGATAAAATCTTAAACAGGGCGTTTTTATAAATCGACCCAAATATTAATGAGGAGTCTACTAGGCCTTGGGGAATCAGGAATATTTTTATCAACATAAAATATCGATATAGGTATCAAATAAAAAGCTAATTTTTATATAACGGAAGGGAAGTAAAAAAAGTACAAAATGAAAAAAATTAATTCTTCTTATTTTATTTTTATAACTACTAAAAACTAAAAATTTTACAATTTTTTATATATATATAATACAATTTTTTAATTTACACTTTTTACATAAGTTTTTTAAAAGGTTAAATTTTAACAAATTCGTCCTTAAAAAGTAAAATAAAATTTACGAAAATTAGGAAAATATAAAAGGTCATTTAAAATGATTTTACAAAAAGTAAAAGAAATATAAAATTTTTTATATTCAAAAAATTATCTAATTAACACTAATTAAAATATTATTTGACTGAAATAATAATTTTCATTCTTAATGTTGTTTAATATCACCTTAAGTAGGCAATCTTTGGAAGTAAGAATTTATAAAAAAAATTCTAATATAAAATGAATATGGGTATTTGTCAGTCAAAATTAGTTATTTGGCCAAAAAATTGAATTTCATCTAAAATTATAGAGGGATCATAATTTAATAACCCATCATCAAATTAAAAAATTCTGATTCCCCGACATTCTTGACTGGTTATCAGCTAGTCCATTGATATCAGCCTAATCGAGAAAGATAAAGAAACACAATATAAATCACTGTATCGTCTACCCTACTGTTCTGCCCCTCCCCAATGGACATTTTTTACCTAAAAAATTTTGAAATATAAGCTATAAAATCAGGGGTTTAACGAACTGAGACCGTATCTTTTTTTCAATAAAATTACAAATTTTAAATCCAATTCTGGCTCTTTCCTAGGATTTTAACTGAAAAATAGTTGCCCCTTATATTTATTTTTAAATTTTTATCAACTGTATATATAAATTTTGTTTTATTAGTTGATGTGTGGAATGGGGTAGATGGAGATCCCATTGTTTATCACGGGCACACATTGACTGCAATGATCAAATTTGTCGATATAATAAAAGCCATATCTACTTACGCCTTCGAAACATCACCGTAAATTTTTTCGAATAAATTATCTATATAAATAAATCAGAGCATACGACCTTAATCCGGGCCATCATGGTATGATTTTTAAAATCCGAGCCGATCCGGGCTTGAAAAAATAAAATCCGAGACAGACCGAACTGAATAAAAAATTAAAGTAAATAATATCAATTAATCGGTTGGAAAATGTTGGGAAATCATATGACGAAGCGTATAATATACAATTTATTGCTCATATTTTCAATTTCTCTTTAAAAATATTTGCAAAATACAGTCAAAGTTATTCAAAATAACTACATTTTAAAAAATTCGAGCTGGGTCTAAAATTTTGACCTATGCATGTCTCTGAAAGAATAATTATAGTCAATGCTCTTTCACATTTGGGTATTTTATACGAAATGAGCAACTGTATAAATTTAACCTAATATTTTTGCCCTATACCACAGTTCATTTTCAATAGTTTGAGTTAGAAACTTGAAAGATACAAATCTTCAACCCCTGACCAGACACGATTCGTAATCATTCCCCCGCCCCACGAACTGACTCGAAAATCATAGGTTGCTGATTTTTAGGCATTAATTTTATTACTTAATGATTATATTTATAAGCAGAAATATTGTTGGACTATATAAATTAAACGGGTAATGACTATCCCATATTTATACTTAAATTACAGTTTTTTATAATTAATTTCAATTTTTTTAATTTTTGCAATTTATAAGGTATCCGCTAATTCTATCGTTAGAAAATCATTGCTCAATTGACCAACAAAAATTAATGGCTCACTATTTAAAAACTATTTTAGGAGGTTTTTTAATAAAATTCTCAAACCTATACTATGCCCTTGTAAATTAGATAAAATATATGCAGAAGAAATTATGGAAGGAGACTTTTTACCATCTCCTGAGTCGCTCAAAGAAAGATATGTAATCAAGGTATATTATTGATATTAGTTTTTATATATCATTTTATCGCAAATAATTAAAAATCATATCCCATACACGTTAAACATTGATATTTACTAGTGATCTGCATCGGGCCTATTTTTTCGGGCTTGGCCCATTTTTTTAGAAAGTTTTGCCGGCCCGGTCTGAACACAAATTTTTTTTTTTTTAATTTACCTAAATATAGAAATTAATTTTTATAATTACTCAAAATAAAAGTTATATGTTATGTGGCGTCTAGTTTCTATAAATAAAATCAAATATTTTTATTTAACACAAAAAATTGAACATGAAATTGATAAGTTTAAGATATATTTTAAAAAAAATTCAAGACCCGACTCGGCCCAAATTTTTTTCAAAATATTAAGCTCAACCCAGCCCGTACCTGATTTTTTTCAAAAAAATAGGGCCGGGTTTGGGCCGAGCCTACTTTGGCAGATCTCTAATAAATACGCTCTTATATTTATAGATTTATTTGGTTACATTGTCGCATTTGAAGCATCTAGTTTAGAAAAAGCCTCGATTATTCTATTCGCTCTATAAAACATTTTCCTTTTTTTTAAAAAATAATTTTGAAATTAACAATGTTTTAAATTATTTTTAATTAAAATTGTTTGATATTTTATGAATATTTATACGCCCTTTTTACAGTAAAAATAAATAATGTTTCTAGGGATATAAAAAAAACAGCGAAAAAACAAAAAAAAACGTTTGCCCCCCCCCAACGGTTTTTTTATCTGTCTCTATCATAAAGCTGTTAAAAAACAACCTGTTTCTGTATAATATAAAAGACCAAAAATTTTAAAATGTTAAAAAGAAACGGTATAAACTAAAAGGTTATATAAAGTTTAAAAATTATTTTATAAATTTACTAAATTAACAATATGTGCTTTCAGGGTAAAATGTTAGACATTCCCTATAAGTCAGAGGAGGTTGTCAGTGAAGAAGACGAGGCCGCCGAAATCGATTCTGAGATAGTCCTTAAAGATCTGAAAAAGAAAGTAAAGCACAACTCTTTGTATTTAGTCTTTACAATATATGATTAATTAATTTATACTGTCTTAAAAAAAATTCATGGCTAAATAGTTTATTTATTTTCTTTTTGTAACAATAGATATCAAGTTGATATTTTTTTAACCAATTCTTTTAGAATTTGATTAAATAATCTAAATGAAGATAATTATTTATTTTTATTTGTAAAAAAAATTTTTTAAAGTTCATCTCCGGTTGATATAAATAATTCTGTATTAGTGTATATATTATATCAATGAGATGACTAGCTCTTGTCAAATTTAGCCATGCTTAAATTAAATTTTGGAGTGCTGAGAACTTTTTTCTTTCCCTTGGTATAGCTAGGTATTCGTTGGCTAATTAAGCACAAATTACAGAGACTCGCCAAAAAGAATCCACTAAGATTAGATGCATGGGTTAATTTCTTTCCAAGGTTAAAACTATCTTTTCAATGAAAATTCAAGATTGAGGTGATATTATTACTAAAAATAGGTTTAACTGATTTTGGGCGAGAGGCTAAATAAATTGAGCTATTACCCAATAAACTCCCTAGCCTTACTACTCTGATGATATATTATAATTCATATTTTGTTACACTGACATGGTTCGGGGTTTTATAACAATATATGTATATCCTTCATATATTATTGTCGATATTGGATGCAGGGAATCAACAATATTATTTATTTATTTTTAGCCACAGTCCAAGATGATCAAACTAGCTAAGGAACTATCAGATTTAACATTTTTGAGATCAACACATTTCAAAGGCGTTGGGCAAAGAGGTATTTGAAAATTTATCTTCCAAAATTAAATAATTTTAACCAATCCTTTAAATAAATTTATAATAAGAAATGTTTTCTTTATATCGTTTCACATTTGAAATGATTTAGATAAGTACTAGTAGATACCACTTTTTTGCTTTTTCTGAAAAATTTTATATATCATGTCTGTTTTATAAAATAAGGTAAATGCAACTGCATATGCTCGTTCTCAGAATTGAAAGCGATTTCTATGATTTCTGAAGATGCAAGATTATTTGCGGATTACAATACTACGAACTTAAGCAGGATATACCCAAATGGCATAAGGACAGATTCTAGCAATTTTGATCCCATGTTATTCTGGAAAGCTGGATGCCAAATTGGTACCATCAATTATAATTAATTTTTTTTATAGTAAATATTAAGATTTATATTGTTTAATAAAGTATTCTGCAATAAATAACAATTTTAATATAATCTTAAATTAAAGTTGCTATGAACTACCAAAGCGATGACAAAAAAATGCAGCTTTATCATGCTAAGTTTAGGGATAATGGAGGAATGGGATACCTTTTAAAACCAGATTATCTTCTCTCAAGTAATGAATACATTAATAAGTTATAAAATTAATAAACTCAACAAAGAAACCCGCATGCATGTTACATTACGATAACAATAGGTGAATATTATAATATCATATAAAATAAAGTTTTTAGCAAATATATTGTGCAGTCAGTTCTTCTATCACATTGGAGGTAGTTAGTTGACTCAATAATTTATTGATAGAGGGTATGGGGTATTCTGATTTTTCAAGAATATCATGATGGGGGAATACGATACCCTTTCAAATAAACCACAAAAATTTTAAAAAATTATAGAATGTTGAATAAAAATCTATTTCGATTTACAAAAATTTTCATACAATTCTTTCTTTATTTAAGTAAATGTATCTCTAATATAATATTCTTTTAGTTTATCTTATTTCTTACTTTTGATATATCTAGTTTCCCAAATCTTAATAGAAAAACTTGTTAACTACTTACATTTATTGAAGCGTTAGTTATTTTTGATAATAGTTTATTCGAGCCCCCCCTCATACTCTTTTTTTAACAACGACCCGATTTGGGGCTTTGGCGATTTGTGTTCTTGGATATAATATCCCCTCCAATATTAACTATATTTAAATGTACCAAGTCATAATTCATATAATCTTGAACAAATGAAGCTAATCTTAATTATCAACTGAAATTAAATATATATTTATATTGACTTATGTAACATTTTACTTGTGTATATTAATTTACAAAGACCTGCAAACAGTTTGGATATATAACCCGGCCCGTAATTTTTTTTAAAAATATTCTTCCTAACATGGTCTGCCTGTATAAGATCCTATAAGAAAATCCGAGTCGGATTAGATTTTTTAAAAGAAATTTGAAATAGCTGGGTTTGAAAATTTTTTATTTTAAATCCGGATCGAGTCTAAGATTTTAATATCTATAAGTCTCCCGATTTATGTGCTAGCTAAGTATCTGCGACTATATAATTTCATAGTAAAGTATTTGACCCGAGCAATAAAAAATAATTATATTGTTATTGTTAGTTAACTTTTTTTCTATTTCCTGATCAATTAATGAATTTTATTATATTATCATTTTTTCAGAATGTTTAAAAATTTTATTAAAATACCACAAAATCGTTAGATAGATTATGATAAAAAAAAGAGATTTTTTTCAAATTTAAAAAGCGTAAGAAAATAATAAGGTGTAGGATAATTTAAGAAATAAAAAGTGAAGCAATGAAATCTTCAGAATTACAGTCAAGGCGTGAGATCTGACAACCCTGTTTCAACCCTATAATCGGCCAAATTAAAGGATTTTGAGCTTTGGTATCGATTAAAATATGGTTCTATAATTGGGATTAGAGAGTCGCTTCAAGGTGAATTAGCTATTAATTGAGCTATAATGGGGTACCCTTTAAAGGGTCTCATTTTGCTTAGGGAAATTTCAAAGGCATTAAAGCGAGTTAATATATTCTTTCTTTAAATGGTTTAAAGGTGACTAAATAATATTATTTATAATATCAAAATACTCTTAGTTATTAAATTCTATTTATTGTTTCACAAGTATCATTTAGTCGCTAGCTCTTATCATACAGTCGTGCTAAGTTTTTTCAAATTTTTTATTTTGGCCTGCTCAAAAATATTTTATCCAAATGTAAAGTATTTCAGACGTGTACAGATTAATTTAGGTCCTAGGGATAGGGATACTAATGATAAATTTTTTTACAAATAAATTAAACCTTTTAAGTTTTGGTTGGTAATATTTTTATTTTATGAATTTTTTATTTATAATTTATCGTAATAACAAAAATGCCTATTTTTTTGAAAATAGATTATGATGAAACTTCTCCAACAGAAAGACAAGAAAAGTTATTGAAACTCAAAGTAATATTAAAGAATAATTATCAATTTATTAGTTAATTAAAATAATTATTATTTATAAATTTTTAAAAAAATATATATGATAAAAGTTTGGATTTATTTTGGATAAATAAAATGTGAACATCGAGGTTTTTGAATTGATCATAAAAAACTAAATTATAAGTTGCCCCTCTTCCTTTAATAAAATTGTTTGGTATCTATAAAAATTAAAAAATCATGATACATATACAAATATGTATATACATATATACTAATATTTTAAACTATTATTCGTTTAATGTAAGATAATAAGCGCTCAGCAATTACCTAAACCGTATAGGAACGTACATGATAAGGATGTTATAGACCCATATGTTAAAATAGAAGTGATTGGCTTCAAAACTACTCAAAAGGCTAAGACCAGCATAATTGCAAATAATGGTTATAAAATTCGCTAATTTATTCTACAAAGAGCAAAAAATTTGTATCGAATTTTATATCGAATTATAAGATATATTTTAAAATATTTTAGGTTTCAATCCTGTGTGGAACGAGGCCTTTGAATTCGTAATCGATGATCCTCAGTCGGCTATATTAAGATTTGTCGTCAAAGATTTCAATTCATCTTCCAAAAATGATTTTATAGGCCAGTTTACCATACCTTTTAAATGTCTAATGGAAGGTTAATTATTTTTTATATTGAAACTGTTGAAAAAAAAAAATTTTTAATCACTATTTTTAAACGGGCCAATTTATGGCTAAATATAAATTTAGGATTCAGTTCGAATACTATAGATAAAAAAAAGATAATCTACTTTGCTCCACTGCAAATTAGATCTAAATTTTCTTATTTATTGATATTTTAATTTACTTCCCTTTTTAAATAATAATTTTATTCCTTTTTATACTATTTAAAAATGATAAAGGTTGCAAATTTTTCAAACTTTTAAATAAGCACAATCAATCGCTTTCAATGGGATCGTTTATATTGGTGCATGTTGACATCTCCGTATATATGACTGATTTGAAATTGCTTGATTAATATTAAAATTCGAAATTTTTTTTTATAAAAATTATAATATTGAAATCTCACCTTTTTAAAAAAAATGTCAGTATTGTGATTATCATTTTCCATATTAAAAATTTATCGATATTGCATGTTATCTCTCATTGTCAAAAAAAATATTTTTTAATGTGATATTCGAAATTTCCATATATCAAAAAATAAATGCCAATATCTGTTAATGTGTTTTCATGAAAATTTAGCATGCCCTTTATTTTTTATATTATAATTTATATAATTATTTAATAACAAACCTTAATATATTGAAATTATTTAAAACCAGGTTATCATCACGCCCATTTACAAAATAAAAAATGTAATGCTATACCGCCTGCTACTCTCTTTATGTACACGAAAATCGAAGACTTTAAAAGGGACAACTTGCCAGAATTATCGAATTATAACCTATTATCGCAAGATAACTCATTAAATAAAGAAGTAAGCCAACCTATTCTCAATAACATAGTTATGTTGGATAAATCTCCTAGAAATAGTAGAGATCGTATTTTTAAACCACATGACAATCTTTATAAGGGTCCACCTATAACATCAAATGTTCTGAATCATTCTCAATTAGTTAAAACATCAAATCCCGATTATAATGAAACAGAAAACTTTGAAGAAATGTATCTCAAACTCAGTACCAAACCCAAATTACTCACAGATTTGGATACCAAAATAGTTCAAGGAGAGATATTAAAACCTTCAAATAGCGGATACATCGAATCAGAGAATATTTACAACAATACGAAAGGGAAGATGCCTTTAAATAAATATCCAAAACATTTACATATTACATCTACCCCAAATTTAAATGAAATAGATATTAAGCAGATATTTAGTGTTCCCTTGTATAATAAATGCCTAGAAACCTCACTAGATAATCCAAGTTATAAGGATCATTTTGATTTTAAACCGATCGCTACAATTCCGTTAAATAAACAATGCAATGGATTCAATAAAAATTACACTCATTTTTCATATATTTATTTGCATGGAAATGATATGAATCAGGATAATCAATATATAAATGGTAATAATTTCTACAAAATACCTCAATTATCTAAATATAAACAAGAATTAAGTTATGAGATTTAAATGCTCCTAAAGATTACTTTTATATTATGTTTTCATATCCCCTTCAATGTATATCAAACATAATCGTCTTTTTAATAAATTTTATTGGTAAATTGTTATAGAATGGTTGCAATTTATTTAGTTAAAATATTCAACAATAAATATATTAAAAATATACAAAGCCGTAATATAAAGTTTTAGGTAATAAGCTTGATGACAAATATATTCCATTAATTGATAATTAAATAGCGGTATAAACAAATAAATTCTGTTATAATTAAAGCAACCTATATACATCATGTTTATAAAAAATAGTTAAAGGCAGTTTTACTGCAGTTTATTTTTAGTATATATTATAATGGTAAAAAATTATCTTCTTTTCCGTCTTTTACCAAAATTTCCAAAGTTAGAGAATCCCGTGGGACTTCCGTAGACCGAGTTGAGTGGGTAACTCGAAAATCTTTCTCCTTTGAAAGAACGAATGGGATTGGACCACGAGTTCAAATTTCCTCCCTTTCCCCACTGATTACCTCCACCCCATTGATTCCCCAAACCAAAACCACCCTTTCCTCCACCCAATCTGCCTTTACCACCACCCCATTGATTTCCTCCTCCCCATTGATTTCCTTTTCCCAATTGATTCCCTCCTCCCCATTGATTCCCTACCCCCCATTGATTCCCTTTTCCCAATTGATTCCCTCCTCCCCATTGATTCCCTACCCCCCATTGATTCCCTCCCAACCATTGATTCCCTCTTCCCCATTGATTTCCTCCGCTCCAACCACCATTATCTTTACCCCATATATTACTACCACCCCACCCACCTCCACCTCTTCCGCCATTCCATATATTACTGCCGCCACCAAACGCGCCTGGTGAATGGAGTTGTCCCATTATAATTCGATTTGTTGAGAACTGTTTAATATAATTGGTAGAAAAATATAAGTTTCATACATATCAATTTATATGTCTAAAATTTATGATTGAACTTAAATTATTTAAATTCTAAAATATAAAGGGTTAAATAAATATTTTGATAGTTAAATTTTGATTGGCCTATAACAAACGTTTCTCATAATTTAATTAATAGTTTATATTATTAAGATGTTCACTTATCTAAAGATATAATTATTGCAATGTAAAACAAAATGTATATTGATAATGATAATAAAAGTATACTCAAAAAACAAATTTAATTAAAGTTTGAATAAAATTTACAAGGCCGTCACCATGGGAGAGGGTGAATTATATTATACATGAAAAGGTAACGAACTATTGAATTCTTTTTCCTTTTATAAAAGAAGCTTAAGTAACTCTTAGACCAGAGATAAACTGGATTACTTATTATATTTTTCTAAAATAAATCTTATCTCAGGCATAAATGATTTAGTGGAAGCTTCTGCCTATTATTTCATAGTATTAATATAAATCAGAGACTTGCAGAGGTACCATTTTCATAGCCCAGTTCGGATTTTTTAAAAAAAAATATTTTCGGCCCGCCTTGGTTTTTATATTTTCAGGCCTGGCCTGGCCCGGATTTTTTAAAATATATCATATTTATTTTTAATTTTTATAGCTAATAATAACGATTTAAAATATTTTATTTGGGTATTTTTTTATAAAAATTTTTTAGATCCGGCCCGGTTATATTTAAAAATTTTAAATACGGCCTGTCACGTGTACCCGAACCGAGCTTAGGGCAGAGCCTGCAGGTCTCTCTTATAAATTGTTATTTTAAGGATTTTAATTTATGATATTTTAATAAAGATTGAAACTCAATAATTATCGTCAGTCTGTAGATAATAATATTTTTGATGTAAATGTGGGGACTGACTATTATAAATTGGCATGACCGAAAAAGAAACTAAGTGGGAGCACTTCCTCTTCCTTTTAAAAAATTTACCGGATTTTATCTATTTTTTTAAGGATTTTTATGTTGTAGATATCTTAATAATTATTTTTAAAATCGCGAATCTTCTGATAGCACCTTGAATTGTTCATCTCCAAGGAGACTAAATTAAAATTCAGTGTTTTGCAATGAGGTGAGTGTCTTGCAATGAGGTGGAAAAAAATCTAATCAACTATTCATCTGAAAAATTTTATAAAAATATTTTTATCTCATATTTAAAAAATTTAATTGCATCACTCGAATTACGATTCTACGAAAATATAACAATAATAGATTTCAATTATTTTGGATAAGTTTTATAAAATGGTAGCAAAATTATTTGATCTTAATAATATAAAGAATTTTCAGGTATAGGCGCAAATTTGGTATGAAATATGAAAATAAAGAGAAAATAAAACATCACAAATCTTAAAACGTCTATGAAGTTAATATTTCTGAGTTATTAGAAGACTATACATATTTAAAATAGATCAATAGGCATTATTAATTGTCTTATCACTACCTATTATGACATACATTAAAGAAGTTTTGGCACTATGAAAGAGCCAAAAACTAATTTCAAAATAATTATAATAAATTTTCCTTTTATTGAGGTTCAAAAGTTTATTATTTAAATTTCTAGTGTATATAATAATTATAAAACTATTAATGGTTATTAATTATATAAAATTCATATGCTCATTTATAAAATATATCATTATTATCTTTAAAAATAGTGCCCTCTATAATTGATTTATCTATTCCTAAAATTATAATAACTAAATAAATATAAATTTTTAATTTCTCCGTTAATGTTTATATTTAAATATACTGGTAATAAACATATTTGATTAGTTTCTTCGTTTCAAACGCCCTTTATAAATATCAATCGCCATCACATAAATTTTGTTCTTAAATTATATCAAATTTTGCAAATGTCAAAAAGATTGCAAATGTAAATTTATCATTTTAGCTTATAATTACATTTTATTTTTAGGATGACAATGATTTATAATTTGGTGTTTTTATACATAGTTTGTTTTAAATATAAATTAAGATATTCAATTAATATCGATCGAGCTTATAATATATATTATTATTGTAAATAATTATATATTTTTAATAAAAGCCTAATAAACTATGTAATTTTTTTAAATAAAAGCTGCCCCTGTCATTTATACCAGATTTTATAAAAAATATTTATGACATACCCTTGTAAAATTCCTGCGAGTATATCAATATATTCAAATATAAATATATTGAGATATAAAAAAAATGATCAATACCTTAAACGAGTAAATTGATTAATACACATGTAGTTTACTCCTGGAAAATCTAACTCAAAAGGCTACGGAAAACCCAAAAAAATTTATATGATTTTGTTGTTTATTTTGATACTAAAATTAAGTTTTATTGTGAATATGATTTTAATTGTAAAACTAAGAGGGATTTCTTATGAAGTTATAGATTTTATTATGAAATGTCAAACGGACTTGAAGAACTCTCGAGCGATCGAATATCGTTTTCCTTCACACCACATTTCTCGCCACTCGTTATTTCACTCGCCATTACTTTAGGAATCCTTGTTAGTTTCTTTTCCTAAAGAGAAATTTTGCAATAATGATCACTAGCTCATTCATTTAGAATATTATCGCCTTATGACCGCATTTATTTTATCATGAAAAAATATGCACAAATATAGTATCGGAAACTTTAAATTTTTAAAATAAAATTTCCAAGTCAATGTTGCTGATAAATTATCAGAAAGGCAAATAAAGCAAGATATCATAGAAATAGGAGTAGCCTATCAAAGCGCAGCGGCTCTAATAAATGGAATGTCAACATATTTCTGTTATGCATGGCTCTCAATATCTATAAGGATGCTAAATTTATTGTTAAAGTCATGTGGTAATACGGAAGGCCTTTCATTGATGATTTTATAACAAAAAATAAAACGCACCGTATAATTAAGAGTATTGCAATATTTTCTCATTGTGACTAGGGGAAACCAGGGATAACTAGCCAAGTTTTTTCTCTTGACAACGAAAGTTTTAGATTTTAATCAAATATATTTGACATGAACGTGTAGCCTAAACATTAATCTATAATATTTAGTTAAAATCAAACCTATATCACTAATAGTTTTTTCACTAGATTATTTTAAAAGAAAGTTTTCTGGTCAAATAAGGTATTGACTGGCGGCATACCATGTGTTGACTGGCCATACTATTTTATTTAAATAAGTTATCACAAATATAAACTATAAAGGTATAGATAGAATAGATATTCATAATAATCCAAAGCAACCCTAATCTGTTATTTTTATCTGAACCCGAATCCATAATCATTTTAGTTCAGGTCCTGGCTTAAATTAACAATGTTTACTATTTATAAATATTAAAAACCATATTTATAAAAATATTTTAAACAAGTTTTTTTTAATATATATATAAAGATATAATAGTTATTTATAATAGTCATTTATAATCTTAAAATAATAAAATTTTGTAAAAACATTATGGTCATTCACTTATAACCTTCTTAGCTATTATTATTAAACGGTTTTTATATAGTGCTAAATAAAGCATCTAAATTTCTATTTTTTTGTGGATATAGCTTATTTAGTTATATAAAATAGTATAAATTTAAATACGGAAGTTCTTCGCTAGACAAAAATTTGTATAACGCGATTTTTGTTCAACTGAACACTAAAAACGTTTTTTAAAATATTTTTTTACTAGTATTATTCATATTTATAGAAATTTCCATGCAAAAATAATATTAAATAAGAAGTTAGAGGGGCATCAATCAACCCCTATGCCCACTTAACCCCAATGCCTCTTATGTTAATATTATATCATTTCCAATAAAAGTTTCAATAATTGAAATTATTTTAATATTTAGTCTGGGAATGAGAAAAGTATATATGACGAAACTTGGCCTAAATTTACTCATAATATTCCTTTTTTCAAAAAAAATATTAGTCCTCCTCTCTCCCTTTCTCGAGTGAAAAGTTCTGGCTACGGACCAGATAAGTTAAAAGTATAACATTTATACTTATTAAAAATAATGAACATATAAGATAGTATAGATATTTATAGCTTGATAGAAATTTATTTACGGAATAATTAAAGTTATTTACAAGTTTCAATATACCCTATTTGCCAAAATAATATCATATGTTTTCTTAATGATTCGCCTATCCCGTAAATATAGAAAAAATTTTTTAAAATTAATTATTTGATCAGATTCGTGTTAAACTAATGTTAGTAACTGAAAATTATTTTAGGCAATATGTATACACCATTTTTTAAATCATAAACTCATCTCTTACCCTTTTTGGTAAAATCAAGCAGATGAATGAGATAAAGAATCTTTTCATTAATTTAAAAATTGTGAAATATAGAAGAAACCCTTCGCCAACATTCTTTGTTACGCCCATGTCTAATATATACTATACCCCTTAGCCTAGATCAGACCTTGGCTCAGATGTAAAATCCTATTCCCGACACCGGTTGCATGTAACATGATTCAATTTTGCAGACAAAATATATTTTATAAATAACCCCCAAATTAAATTAAAGAATTATACTTACCAAAATGTAAAAGCTGAATAGAATGACAAAACAAATATGTCTGCCTTTCATAATAGTGTAAACCAAAATCTTTAAATAATGGCCAAATACATAATTCTAATTCGTGTTTTAATTTTGTAACAACATAATAAAGTATACTTTAAAATGTTTGAAACGATGATCTATTTATACAATTCAGTTATTTCCCATGAATTTTAAAATTAAAAGGGTAGATGAAAAAAATATTTTTTTCGGTAGCTTCATCCCTTTATTGGTTTGATTACTTATTTCACTAATTTTATTAATTAGATGTGAAATTATGACAGTTATAATCTTGAATTGCATATTATCTTAAACATTATTATTATTATTAAGTTATGGCACTAATATTTAGGTATATAAATTGTTAAATCATTTTCAAATTTAATGAC